CAGTAAAATTATTAATTTTATTTTAATAGAAAAAATATAGTGCCAATTATTATGGGTCATTTTGGTCCTTTTAAACTATTTAATTACTTTAATACCTTTAAAAAAACAAAATAACTTTCTCACGATAGTTTTTTTTATCATTTTACATTGGTTTTATTATAAAATTAAATGTTAGAAATTAGCATTTTGATAATTAATATGTATTATATATTATTATGAAAATATCAAGTTAATGCGTGCAATATAGATACTAAAATGTGAACAGTCCTTGCATCATTTGGGTAAAGCATGTGGGGCCGTCTAGCCACCAAATACAACATTCAAGGGTGATATTTGAATTGTCCCAGTGCATCCGACACAGTGAGGCAGTGCATGTTCCAAATTTCTTGCAGTTTGATGTTGATGATTATTTTTTATATATATAGTTTATAAAATTTGCATGCCTTTCCAACTTCACCCCATTTCAATATTTTTATCTCCCAAATTTAGTTTATATTCTTTTTTATTTTTATTTGTTCTATTTGATATTATTTTTAATTTGATTTAATTTTATGATTTTACACTCCTTTGTTTTTCTTATTAAATTTATTTTGTGTTATTTTGATTGCCATTTCTTGTACTCTGAGAAGATTTTTACATTTATATTTTTAAATTGATTCATAATAAACTTTTTTGTTCCACATGAACTCAAGGTTTCATGAATTGTAAACTTTAAAGATATAACCAAGATTAGGATATTTGTTAAAGTTTGCATGGTTTTTTTCTTCTCTGTCCAAGTTAATTTTTTCCTTGTCTCATCCTTCAATGATTATTCAATTGAAGCATGGGTTTTGTTTTTTAGCTTGTTTGTTATGAAACTTTTTGTTCATCTTAAAAATAAATTGGTTATATCAAGTCATTTATGTATAGGTTTTTGTTGGATTTTCATGATTAATTATTTAAATTGACACTTTCTTTCCTTGTGCAGTATTTCAATATTTAAAATGATTTTTTTTAAATAACCTATAAGGTTAGAATTCCATTTCTATTTCATTCTTTATTTTTTATTATTTCAAATTTAGTTCTTATTATTTTTATTACTATTTATTTTATTTAAGATATATTTTTAATTTATTTTCTTTCTTTAGGATTCCTCGTTAATTAAAAAATGACATGATTTTTTCCAAGTCTTCTTAATTGTTTTTCTTTATTGGATTTATTTTGAGTAATCAACATTGAATTTATTAGGAATTAAACCTTTTAATTCAACTCAGGTTTAAAATTCAATGGGTTGCAGGTTTGAAATCCTTGCCTGGGTCTAGAAGATTCATCTGAATATTCTTGTTTTTTTTCCTTGTTAAGGTCGGTATTTTTGTTTAATTTTATCATTCAATATTTATATCATCAATGACAAGACTTCTTTTTTCTTTTTACATGCCTTTTATGTGATATTTTTAATCGTTATTTTTTGATGTTTTCCCAAAAAAAAATTAGATATATTTATATTTTTTTTTTCATGCTCAGGTTTCTATATCATGTCAATTTTATTTTTTTTACGATATCAAAACATGCATGCATCGTAAAATTATAAATGCTTCCCAGTCTTAACCCTAAAATTTGTCAATGAGGTGTCAAAATGGAAGAGACATTGTTTTTTCAAGAATTATTAATTCTATTCACTACAAAGAGTCTTTAAAGTAATTAAAAATCTATTTGGCAGCCTTTGCCCGCTTATATTACAAGGATTACACATCAAACAAAAATAATTACCCGATCTTAAACTAATGCTCATTTCACCAGGCATCATATTTTTTTTTAATAAGGATTTTTCAATAGTTATTTGATTTTGATATTTTTCACTGTCATACGGGTAAAAGAACAAATATAATCTTAGACTACTGCGTTATTTATTTTTATCATTTTAAATCTAATTTTATTTATTTCTGGCTTTATTTAAATATTGTGCATGTCCGACCTATTAGCTATAAAATTTACACGTAAATACTCTTATGCAATGATACTATTTGGTTTGACAAGAGTAACAAAGATGCTGTATGTTTAATATAATATATGCAACGAGCGATTTTTATGTTTTAGTTTTTTATCAAACTATTTAAACTTATCAAATAATCCATTAATCTTTATAGTGCTTTTTATATTTTTGTTCAAGTCTAAATATAGATATATGATGGAGGTGATATTCTTAATAGTTTTGGTTTTTGCTGGGTCTGGTTCAAATTGAAACATAACATTTGAAAATTAATTTGTTTGTAAGTTTTTAGAAGGGCTGGCATCATTTACCATAAAGTTAAATCTAATTTCATCTAATTTAACTATAAAAGGATTAAAATAAAAAGAAAAGAAAAGAAAAGGTTAAAAGAAAAAAAATTCCAGCCGCTTCACCTGAAATGCAAATAATGAAGATGCTGCGTATATATGCTAGTTATTTTTATAGTAGTTAGTTTATATTATATAAAACTAATAAAAAAACGATATTCTTTTTAGAAAAGCCACCTAAAATAGTTAGAAGGATGTAACTTTAATTACATGTTTTGGTCTGATAGGCACTAACTGGCCCGAAATTTTAAGAGGTATTTTTAGGCAGCTCATTTGAATTTATTCATTTTACAAATAGCTGAGTAGCATAACTTAATAAATACCGTTTTTTTTTTTTTGTAAAAAAGAACTGTGTTCAAGGAAATAGTGCAATCTTTAGTAATAAATAAAAAAATTGTGTTGCTAAGAATACCATTTTTTTGGTTGTTTTTTTGTTACTAATTTGAATATTAAATTAGCTTATATGTATTTTAATTAATTAATTATACAAGTTTTAAAATTAATAATTATATAAATTTTTAATAATTTTAAAGTTTATAAAATTTAAACTAGTGGTATCTAAAAAGTAAATTTAGAATCTTTCTAATAATATTAACCTGGTTAAGCTATCAAAGACATAACATTTCATTGAGTAGCATTCATGAAATTATATTTTATGTTGGAAGTGTAGTTAGTTATTTAAATGTTTTTATTTAAATATATATTAAAATAATATATTTTTATTTTTTAAAAATTTGAAATGAAATAAATAAAAAATATAAAAAAATATTTTTTAAAAATATTTTTAAAATATAAAAATAAATAAGCTCTAAGTAGCATGATTATTCCAGTTGTATTACTTAAATTTTTAATTGTTGTGTTATTAGATAAAATTTAAAATCTAATTTAATTTAATTCTAATCTATTTCATATTTGTTTTTGTTATTTTATTTTTTTCTAATAAGAAAAATTAAAAAACAAATTAAGAATAAACAAAGGCAATCTGGAGGGGAAAAATATAAAGCAAGCCTGGTCATTTTTTTTAAATTATTTTAATTTTTTATATTAATATTAATTATTTTATTTTCACAAACTACAAAACTCATTTATAAGCAACTCCAAAATGTACTCGGTTGAAAACCTTATTTTCAAGACATGCCTTGCCAACAAAGCTTTATTTAACCACTCCAGTACTGAGGAAGTCCAGTTCATAATACTTTTTTTTTTTTGAAAAAAAAAACCAGAAGGGACAAGTGAATTAGTCGAGCCCTGGATTTATTGCATTATAGATTGAAATATGATTATTTTTCTCCTCTCAAAGAAAATCAATTAACTCATGATCGAGGGCAATAAAATATATTTTTTATAGCATCTATATCTTATTATTATGTTAAAAAGGAATAAATCAATCATTAAACATTCTAGTGGTTGTACGGTGAAATAACTAACTTATTTTTAAAATTAATATATCTTAAAACCCGTGCTTAGAGTTTTTTTTATTAAAACATAGTCAATTAATTTTAATAAACATGAATATTTTTTTTCTTCAAAATGACTAACACGTTACACACGTGGGAAGTGGTCACAAATGTGGTGTCGTCGACAGCCAAAGGCTAGCTTTAGGATAGGGTTTAAATCATCTTGGCAACTTTCCTATTCCCAAGTGATGGGTATGGTAAATGAACCTCCGGTTTGATACTAGTAGCCTTTTTGTTTCCCCTTCGTTTTCTTTTTCCTCTTTAGATTGCTATCCCTAGCTCTTTAAATTTTCAATGTAGCTCCTTAACTTGTTTGTTTTCTAGATTTAGTTATTATTTTTTAAATTATTATTTATTTTATATAAAATAAATAATAAAACTATATATTTTTTTAATTTTATTTTTTTATTTATCAAATTTAGTTTCTATTATTTTAATTATTTTTTATATGAGATAATTCTTAATTTTTTTTTACAATTTCATCTTCATTCCTATCAAATTTAATCATTATTTTTTTTAAAAAAAAAAAATTATTTAAATATTTTTTTTTATTCCTCACCATAAAATTGGCTATAAATTAAAATTCTTAATTGATATCAGGTAACAAATTATAAGTTTAGAAAATTAATCAAGTTTAAAAAGTTAATCCAAATGTTTTTATTTTTCTTTTTTTTTTCAAAACTTATATTTTTTAATTTTATTATTAAATATTTATTTATTTAGAGCTCGATCTTTATTGTATTTTTATTTAATTTTTATGAGCTATGTTAAGTTTTTTAGTTGTTGTTTTGGTTAAATTTAGCTTTTAAAAAATAAATTTTTGTTTTTTAATGTAATTTAATTTAAAATTATTTATTTATTTTTAAAAAAATTTAAATATAATTTTATTAAAAAAATTATTTTAACATATTTATAAATAAAAACACTTAAAAAAATTTACATAAATCACCGTAGAAAACATGCTAGTAATCTAAGTGGATGTCTTCTCCCGTCTCGAGTTTACCTCGAAAACTTCAAATTATTTAGTTTTTTTCTTCTTATATATTAATTTCGTACAGATTCAAGTTTTATGAAAAAATCAGTTTTCATTTCTTCACAGTACAATGTTGTCATAGGCAGCACCGAATAAAAAAATTAAGTCATATGTTGACAAAGCAGGTGACAATCTTGAAAAGAAAAAAGAACAATGGGAGAGCAGATCACTGACAGCAGAAGATTCACTATACATGCATGAGAGAGACTTTCGTTCTCATTTCACGCCGCCAAAGCTAAACTGAGTTTGTCCTTCAACTCAGGCTGCATTTAATGCACAGATAGAATAGCAGTCTCCAGTTTCAACTTTCATCATTTCATACCCTAGCAACCTACTCCTTTGCAGCACTTGTCCTCTCTCTTCCACTCTGCACTGCCTGCTTCACCATACATACTAATACGTATAAATAATCAACGTATATATACTCCACCTTGATCCTCAATTTTGTTATTTCTTTGCTTATCGATACCATCTTCAGTTATTTTTTAATCTAGTTTTGGCTCATATCCCGTCCCTGCCAATCAGCGGACACTGATACTCCATTAATTCATACCTCTCTCTTGTTTCTGACCTCTATATAATATCATTGTGGACATTCTGTTCTTAAATGGCTGTTAACGCACCAAACCCTAAACCTTTGAACCCTTCTGCTTCCCCTTACACGAGAGCCGAAGCGAGTGTGTCTCCGCCATATCTACCACCAAACAGTGGAATGATCGTGTTACCCTCAAAACTACCCCAGCTTTCACAAGAGATTTATGGCTCCCATCCACAACAGTTGCCATCTCAACTAGCGTGGGTGACTCGATCAGTGCCCCCCATGGTTCCTGGGTTCCTCGCCAATCCCTACCTCTCCGTGCAACACCAATTGACTCAAGCTTGGGTGTACCAAGAAGCCACTGCCTACTACAACATCTATAGGCAGCCTTTCACCGTGCCCTATCCACATATTTATTACAGTGACAGTGGGAACCAAGGAACATGCTGTACCCCCGGTGAGAATTTAAGAGAATCCGAGGCTGTGAAATTTGAGGAAAGAGTGAAATGTGAGGATAGCTATTCTGGGGTTTTGGGCAACGCGGAAAAGAGGGTTTTTGGTGGAGGTGCCAGGAGGTTTGTTGCACCTCCTCGGCTAAGGGCAAAGCGAAGAGAGGGTGGGGTTTTTTTGGGTGAGAAATTATGGGTGCCTAAGATTGAATCTAAGTTGTATGGGGAGAGTAGTGGTGATGATCAGGGGTTGAGTGCTAAGGAGGAGGACGGGGTTCTTTCCTGTAGTACCGATGAAGTTGTTTTAGCAGGAAAAACTACTTTAATGATCAAGAATATTCCAAATCAACTTGGGTAGGTTAATTTTCTCATCATGACTTCATTCTATAATTGTTTTCTTTCAATCTTCTGTGAAATTTAATTTATGTTTCTTGCTATATTGGGTATATGGCTGATTTTGATGTTTGTTATGGTTTTTAGAAATTACCTTAAAATGCGGGCACTAAATTTTTGGTGTTTATAAGATAGCAAGTTAGTAGCCATAATTCTTTTCTTCTTTTAATTTATGGCCATGGAGTAGAAGGCATGATTTACAGCGAATACTGGACGTGCACTGTTTGGGAGAGAATCAAAAGGCTATGCAGCGATTTGATCGTGTTAAATCAGAGTATGATTTTCTCTACCTGCCCATGGACTTTGTGTAAGTAACTTTTGCCTAGCACTTGTACATTTAAGCTTAGTTGACATTTCGCATGGATGTCTGGCCTTGCTGTTCCTCCTTTTCGTCTACAAGTCTGTTGGATGACATAATGGGGTATATAGAATCTCTCTCATGCTAGAGTGACTTAGCTTTTGTTTCTCATCTCCAATGTAACAGATAAGCCAAGCTGTTATCTAGGAGTTGACAAATCGTAAATTTTGCTATACCAGCTTCGACTTTAGCAATAGTTTTAACTGTTAAAAACTCTCTGGAACTTAGTGTAACCGCTTGTATCAGTCTCGTTCCATTTTATATAATTCAAGCATAATTCCTCAGTGTTGGTGTAAAATAGAAACTTTGTCCTGTCGAATATGTGAAACTTGTGAAATTTGATATACATTATAGGAGACGAGCAAATCTGGGTTATGCGTTCGTCAACTTCACTAATGCCGCTGGAGCCTTGAGATTTTGGAAAGCTTTCAATAAGTATAAGTGGGATGTCGGTGCGAACCGCAAGACATGTGAAATATCTTTGGCAACTATCCAGGTGAGTCTGGTTTCCTAATTTTTCTATACCTGGATAGAATTCATCGACCCTTTATAATGTTTCGTTCAATTCAGGGAAAAGATGCCCTCTGCAATCGCTACAAGAATTCTGTGTTTCCATGCCATACCAATGCCTATTTGCCTGTTGTTCTACTGCCTGCACGTGATGGGTGGAGGCAGACCGCACCTAGTATTGTTGGAAGGCGTGTAGACCCAGCCTTTCCATTGGAAAGAGGTTGTATCAGTCGGAGGAAATCCTTGAACAAGTAAAAGAAAGTCCTTGTTTCTTCAACCTTCTGATTTCTAGGAAATACTGTATGTTTCTCTGTGTGTTGTAGCTGAATGATTAGGATTTGGTTTCTCTGCTCCTCTCATGGACTTGGGATTATGGCTAGTCTATGCTAGTGGTGTCTAATAGTGTGGTGGTACGTTTTAGCTCGCCCGTGTTTTCATTTCCCCCCTAGGATTGCTGAAGATGGACGGTCAAAATCAATGGGTGAATTGGAAACACGAGCTTGGGATTTCGATGTGTTTGTTTCCAGAACAATCCTCTGTCATATATGTTGTCTGAAGTTTGCTTGATGTTTCAGTACCTTGTGGTTTTTTAGGTCCCTATGCTTTCCTTATCATCGCGTTTTAACCCTCACGAGTTCTTTGAAGTCTTGGAGCGTTGACTCAACGACAATTGCAATCTGATCAGATTTTGTGTGTTTTCATCTATTTTAAGTTTATTTTAAGTATGGTATTATAGGACAAGTTGTTTTTTAAGTGTTTTTCTTGAATTTTTTTTTTAAAAATTCATTTTATATTAGTTTCAAAATGTAAAAAATCTTCAAGGATAATTTTAAAATTATTTCTAGGTTTGTGGGTGTTTTTTCAATAATTGTCTAATATTGGACTTTAAACTTGTCTTGTAAGATATGACGAGGATGGATCTGGTATTAAAAAATCTGAAAAAAGGATAAAAAAAATTATTGAACTTTATTTTTTTGAAAAGAATTGTTGTTTTCGTGTATCATGTATATTTTTTATAAAGAACAAAATTATGTTTTTATCATATTTTAAAAATTAAAAATGGATATACTAAGTATTTGATTAAAATATTAAAATTTTCACAATAATATATTTGTTATTTATTGTGTTAAAATTCAGTTAATACTTATATATTTTGGGATAATAGAATTACATAGTAAATTATATCTTGAAGTATTTAGTTGTACTTCAATAAGGTAAAGATTTTTTTATGAAGGGATATATGGCTCGAATTTAGATGATATGAATTAATAGATTATTTAAAAAACAATTAATTAATAAAGAAATTTATCTTAGATAAATTGAAGCTGGTGTGTATTTTCTCGCACTTAGTTTTTTGACTTAGATTTTCTACCAGATTATTAGGTGATTAGGTGGTGATTTTAGAATTAGGATGCATTAGTTTTGGTGGGCCGCATCGTATATGTTCATGACATGTGTGGTTTGGGTTTAGAAACATCGATTATGAGAGTAAGGTTAAAATCCAACTAAGATGTTTAAAAATAAACTTGATATATAGAATATCCAATTAAGATGTTTTAAAATAAAATTAATATATTGAAGAAATGATAGATTTTTCAATATAAGTAATTTAAAATGTATCTTGTTGCTTAACATGAAAAGCAAGCTTAGATGATTGAGAAATGATAATATCTAACAAGTCAGGTGATCAATAAATATTATAACAACAGGTGGTAACAGGTGGTGCAGTAAACATTTTAGCAATACGTGGGTGTGATAGTATCAAGTGTTACTTGATAAGTTAAATCACCGGTGTCTAATTCTTGTAAAAAGTTATTTTGATGGATGAAGTCAATAATTTTATTTAAAAAATATAATAATGAAAATTGTAAAATCTTTTCTAGGATGATATAGAGAATGCATATCATTTTAAATATACATATATATTTTTTTTAAGGAAAGGGGGCTTAAAAGTTTTTAGTCTCACAGTACTCTCATAGTATAGAGATAAATATTTTTATATAAATATTAACAAAGAATATTAATAAGATAAAAAATGACGGGCCATTTAGAGGTATAAATTAAGTAAAACTCATTGTAAAACAAAAATTCCAATGGACAAGGTGCGAGGACACACACTGGGTTGATGCATGCAGCGCGGGCCTTGACACATTACACTTGTCTAAAGGCACTAGGCGTGCTCCCCAGGCCTAAGGGCTCAAAGTGCATTGCCTGAGCCCACTTATCGAGTGCACAACTCAGAAATATATATTTTTTTTAATAAAAAAAATCACCTAGGCATGCCATCATTAAAATGGTTTGAACCAACAACTTTATTTTTTAAAATACTAATAAATTTTGATTCATCACTATGTGATCACTAATTTGTCTATTTACACAAATTATTGGATTCATGTAATAATAATATATATGATTTAATTATATATAATCATGCATGTTATTAAATTTTTCAATTAAAAATTGGTTTTGATGTGTAAGGCCTCCTTTAGAAATGTGATTATATTATTTTTCAAAATATTTTTTATTTGAAAATATATTAAAATTATATATATTTTTTATTTTTTAAAAATTATTTTTAATATCAATACATCAAAATAATATGAAAATATTAAATATATATTAATTTAAAATAAATAAAAAAATTTAAATTTTTTTAAATACCTACCAATTATGATCAAAAAATAATTTTATAATATAAACTTGAAAAAACTAGAACCTTGATATTATATTAGACGATAACTTTAAAGTATTTTTAATGTCAGATATTTTATAAAAAATATTATTCTAATTTTCCAATAAATATTTCTTATAAAATACCTTAAACAAAACCAATCAATATAGAATATTTAGAGTTAATGAATTTTTATAAAGTATTTTATGGACACATACAATATCATTTAAATATTTCAGACACCATGAAACACCACCTTGGCCTCCAACACCACCCTGACACCACCAAATAATTCCATAATAACTATTACACCGCCGCCACCATCATTGCCTCCATTTTACCACCATCTGCACGACACACCCACCCTTATCCCATCACAACAATTACCACATTACATCATCATCATTTTAGTAATATCGTATCTTTCACTTTATTATTTATCAAATATTGTAAAATTGTTTTTATTCTTAAAATATTTTACATAATACAAAAGCTACCATTTATAATATTTTTTTATATGATGTAATCTAAGTGAATAATTTTTTTGATTAGGATAAAATTTAAACTTTCATTTTTATAATGGAGTGAAAAAAAAGTAGCGAATAATAATATAGTTGTCTGTCTCGAAGATTTTGTATTTGTTTTATATTTTGACTATATCCAGTAACCAATATCATATAAACTTGAAATGATAAATTTATTAACTTTATTAACTATAATTGGAATAAATGTAAAAATCTTTTTTTTATTCTCAACATTGAGAAGTTTACAAAGGAAATCAAAGAAGAGGAAAAAATGTGTTTTATTTGCGTGTCTAACATCCTGCACCACATCGTGTGCGCCCTAAAATTCCTTAAGTGCATTAAAATCATGACTATAAAATCAAAATAGCGATAAGATATCCCCTAAAAAAAAGACTTCTTTTTGATGAGTTCTATGTCATCAAACTTACACTTCAACTCTCAATAATTTAGAGAACATAAAAAATTACTTACTCAATTCAAATTCATATTCAAAGAAACACAAAAAGATAATTCTAATTCAACAAAAAAACAAAAAGTTAAATACAGAAAACTCTACATCAAATAGAAATACTTATTGGAGAAGAATATGCTGATGTAGGAAAATTTTGTGATTGAATTACTATTTGAAGTTGAGGTCCCACCAATATCTTGAGCATATTTACACAAGATTTCTCATAGAATTTGGGTGTCCAACAACGAAACATTACATGCATTTGTGTGGTTGTTTATCCCGATTGAAATTCTTGATCAGCAGGTAAAATCAAATCAAATGGTTTAAGAAGATATTTCTGAGTGTTGTGATCAAATGAGCACAGGTAAACAGCAAGGAGATATTTTCCTTGGAAAACCGAGCAAGGCAAAATATGAGTACCAAGGGTAAAAACATCTACCTAAATTACTACCGTGTATTTTTCACATGGAATCAACACAAAATTGACCCACAGACGAGCAGCTTTTTGGAGCTAGCAACCGTGCAAGAATGTAATAAAGTTCTGGGAATGTATTTGCCATCATTCACTAGGCTTTTCAAAACCTTTCTATATTTTCTACTCCGAGCACGTGTGCAACATCACGTGTAGCTCAGTTCTCAAAGTTTACAGAATTTAGATATATGCTCACAATTTCCACAAGGATCAAATCATTTATATTTTGAAGGACCCAGGATTACTGACTATAAGAATTAATTTGCATGTCAAAAGAATGATGAAGCACAAGTACCATACCATTCAGAACATCAAAATTGAGTGGAAAATTCGAATCATGCCAAAACACTTCCATAGATCAGAGACTCAATCTGATTACCTAAAGAACATCAGTAATACAAATTGATTCACACAAAATTCAATTCACAGATGACAAACAACTAGATAAGATAAACACAACCTGATTCACTAACGAGGTGCTTTCTTCTTTCCTGGAATAGAAACCCTCTTCCCCTTCAAAGTTCGGCAATTGTTCTTTGTGCGCTGCCCCCTGCATGGCAAACCCTGAATATGCCTTACCCCTCTATAACACTGAATCTCCTTCAACCTCCTTATATTGAGGGCATTAAACCGTCTCTGCGGCATGCAAAATCAAATTGCTTAGGTATAAACGCTGCACTTAAATATAAAAAAAGATCAGACATATGCAAAAAAGGATTACCAAATCTCCTTCAATCATGTACTTGGAAACTTCATCACGAAGAGTAATGAGCTCATCCTCCGATAAGTCCTTGGTGATTTTGTTTTCCATGGTGAGATCAGAAAGGATTTGGCGAGCTATAGAGCGGCCAATTCCATGAATGTACTGAAGAGAATATTCGACTCGCTTGTTATTTGGAATCTCCACTCCTCCAACACGGGCACATCGGATGCTTAGACTGCCAGCCTAAATATAACAGGAGGAAAACAAAGCAGCACACAGAGCACAATGCATGATCTCCCATTTAAACATAACAGGAGGAAAGGAAAAAACTGCTTTTAGTTCTTCGATTTTTCATTACACAGCTTGCAAGGAGAAAAAAGAAAAAAAAGAAAAAGCATCCCAATTGAGATTTAGTTGACCACTACCATAACCAGAGGAGTAAAGTATCGAATTACATAATTACAACATGGATTTGAAGTTATATTTCTTCAATATGAATGACCTGCCAGATCTATGACTGGTTAACGACAATTACTTGACCCACCCAAATTCATACGAGTCTAATTTAACTGACATGAGAAAGAAAAATGTAAAAAAAATTAATCATTTCCCTTTCTCACATAATTCTCTAATTTTCCAGGAGAAAAAAAGAAATAAGAAGAAGAAAAATGGAAGGGTTACCTTGGGAGGGTTTGAAATAGGAAGAGAGATGGAGTTGGAGAGACAAGTACTTTTTAGTCCGTTGCATATCGCAGAGAGAGAGGGTACCACAGGCATTGCCAGTGTTTGCGCCATTTTCTTTTCCGTCTATCACGAGTTTATTTTCCTGCAGTTTCTAGTAACGTGCGAACAGAGCGTTGTGAGCTCCAGGGGCTGCTCAATTGCTTTATCCTCTTAACAGGGAATAACGAGCGCAGCCTTAGAGGTAGAACAATCGTTGTTACTCTTACTCGCGTCATCAAGGGCCAATTTGGATAACATATTTCTCGGCCCACATCTCAAAGTCGAGCTGGCCCAAAGAAAAATTCATTATGTTCTAAGTAACTTAGGCCAGCCCAAGGTAAATGGTTACAAAGCAAAGACATTACATAAATTCTTTTATGGTAATTTTCGAACCAGTTTTTTTGCAATTACATTATTTCAAGTTTCAGTTGGGACTACCATCTGCACCATAATGCAGCATTCATGAAAAAGAAGATTTCTCACCATTTTTCATCCTATTAAGATCCAAGATGGTAATATAAAGACCCACTCACTGCCTAACGAAATTGCCAATTCCACCGAGTCGTTCTCCCAGAATAGCACATCGCTCTCAACGAAACTCTTTAAGATTTTGCAAATAGCCATATATCATTTGCCTCAGCTTCTGCATTGGTTTTGCAAGGATTGCTAGGATTATAACCATTAGTAATTCAGTATAGTGACCATCATCTATCAAGTTGTTCAGATGAAACCTGCTCCAAATAACAGAAGGTAAATATTTTCTAATTCCATTTATTCTCCCGAGCACTTCGAGGTCCAGACTCGTCATCGAATCTGCAAGCCCTTAACATCCGAGTACACTATTTTCCTGAACTAAAAACAAGTTCTTTATAAGCCAATCTTGTGCTTGGGGGGGGGTGTTGGTGGGGGTGTGGGGCGGGGGACCAAAAATTGATGGGTGCAAATCCTATCACAGAATGCAGCAGTCCTGAGGTGGCTGCTTACTGTTTTTCTATCCCAAACCGGGCACAATACAACACCAGGAGCATCCCAACCTTACAGGCTGCCACTTCATTCCAGCATAAATGATCACAATTGCTATGAGCAACCAAATTCGCTCCCTTTAATTATGATAATTTCTGAAAATCCAAAATCTATCCCAAAACTCACTTTGGCAGGAGACAATACTGATAGAAGGCTGCCAGACAGGAAATCACGGGTAAGAAACCAAAGATACGCTAACTCAAAACAAGAATACTAGTCACTGCTGGAACTACAATCTAGTAAACTCATCAAAATTCAGTTATCGCATATTCTCTTGTGTGGATCATTTGGCTTGATTTCTTTCTTGATGTTTCCGAATCCGCTCAGCAACTTCCTGAGACCCATACTTTTGGTGTTCTGAGCAATAACAGAAAAGAAAACACAATAATTAATAAAGAAACCATATAAACATGACACCATGAACATCTCCAAAGATAGTAAGTTTGGTTGACTCAAAATACTTTTAGACTTGGCACTCCAGTCTCATTCCATATGCAAGACATGTCACAATTCAGTAATTCATCAATAATAGAGAATAAACAAAAGCCACTATGCTCACAGGAGGCTTTCATTCCAGGAATAGAAACCACTTACCCTTTCTGGTCCGTGCATTGGTTGAAGTGCGCTGTCCTCTGCATGGCAACCCTTCAACATGCCTATATCCTCTGTAGCACTCGATGTCTACCAATCTCTGTACATCAGCTTTAACACGTCGCGCCTAAAAGATTCAAAATTGGATAAGTTAAAAAGGAACTTTTTTGGCAGATAGAGTCACAAGAGTTTGAGGAAAGAGAAAATAGAGCAGGCAGAAAGTTTACCAGATCTGGTCCAGTCAGGTACTTGGAGACTTCTTCTCTAAGAGAGTTGAGTTCTATTCCAGTCAAATCCTTGGTAGGTTTGTTCACCAAGCTTAATTCACAAAGTATTTGATGAGCTCTTTTGCGGCCAATTCCATGAATGTATTGAAGAGCAACCTCCAATTTCTTGTCATTAGGAATCTCAGTGTTACCAACACGGAGACCTTGCACGCGTTGGCAACGGAACTGCAAAATGGAGTAATTATTGACACCAACATCCAAAACAATCTCTGCTTGACTTGAGAAAAAAAAAAATTAAGATTAAGAAGTCTCAGTTTTTTGTGTAACTTAATCCGTTTGAGACACCAAAAAAACAGAATCTCCATTAAAAATGAGTACACTCCATCTTTTTAGATAGGGTAACTGTTATGTGGAAAATCATATGTATATATATAAAAAATTATCAATTTGCTACCATATTTTTACGAAGAGAAGAATGAATGGCATCACACCATTTGTTTGTTCTTTATACTGAACCTAAGCAAACCTCCATAGGTCTTGTGAAAAAACTAGTTCAGATCAACCTTTACCATATATCAAAATCACTATACTTACCTGATTCGCATTTCAAACTACCTCTCAAGCTTCTATAATTTGTTATGCGAGGACATTTGTAGTAAAATAAGAGGTCATAGAAGAAATAAAACACATACAATGCTTTGTTTGCTGCAGTAAAAGTGAATCCATTCACACTTTCCGGGTTTTAGACTCAATTTTTTTAGATTATTCAGAGTTCCAGCAAAGCAACAAAGAATAAAACTACAATAAACAGAGAAACACAAATAAAGAGAGCTTCACATAATGGAAACTAAAACCAAAAACATAATATACAAAACAAAATAATCAAAGATTAAGTAATAAATTCTAGTTCTGGTTAACATCCTAGACTATCTCAACCAGCCAATATAGTTTGTTTACCTTTTTAGTTGATGAATCAATGTTTGGTAGTTTATAGACACTAGCATGGAAGCATTGGACAACTAGTTTAACAAGGTTATTTCACAAGCAAACTTTTACTTTTTCATTGGTTTAAGGAACACTAACGACTTTACAGACCTGTTTAAGTATCACAAGAAACCAATTTTAAAAGAGCAGCCTCTACATTCATAAGAACAGGTCACCATGACCAAGCCCCTGTTGATGATTACGGTGCATCTTCTAGATTGAGCTATCACACATTCATTTTCTCGGACAATGTAAAACTGGGTGGTTGACAGGTGCAGGTTTAAATAAGCAACCAAATTCAGACGAGTGAAAAAATTGCATGCCACTTTAAAGCCATGCTCTAAGCATTACTCAATGGAGAACATAACAGTTGCTGTTTGCGCCCACTACCAGAAAGAGAAAGCTAAGGACTTGACATCACTTCCTTTCCTGGGATTATTATGCTATGTTGTTTTTCTTAAGAGCAAAGTAAGTAAATTATTTCTTAGTACCACCAACCCTGAAATTCAGGCTTAGAGGGAAGTTCAAGGAAAATGAACTGCCTTTACAGTATGAAATGGAAACAAACAAGAAGTTGTTGAAGTCCTTTTTCAACAAAACACAACTTATATGAATTGCCTTAAACGTCCATGAAGCATTCTACCAGACTGCAAGACAATGAACATTGATACAGCTAATGAAAAGCCCAATGGCACACTGCTCAATTTGTCATAATGTTAGGACATAATTTTATTTACAAATTTTCTGGCATTACCATTGAATTGTCTTAACCACATTTAGAAGCAAGAGTATACGAAAACAAATCACAGATCGCTTTATCATTTCACAATACATTGCATTGATTATTAAGCATCTCAGATTATGACCCTATTCTTTAAAACTTGTTTCTTGGAGAGGCAAATGCACAATAGAATACATCAATGACGCCAAATCAAAGGTTCACCTCATTTGAATAACAGGAAGAATAAAAAGAATCTATACTGGATTGAACAGAACTTCTAGGAGAGCAAACACAAATGTCAGAGCTCAATAGCACAACAATGCACACTCGATGACCTGCGCTAGACCTCAAAGCAGACCATACCGGAGTAGTTAAACATTAAAAAGATTGCAGAAACTTGACAATGACATATATCACCTTCTAAAATGCATATCATATACTGCAAAAATGCAGAGGTTTGAACTTAAATGCTCCGTCACATGGACAAGTTAGCATGCCCATATCGATGCAGTATTATAGACATCCTGATTTTTTTCTGGATTGTAGAAAATAGCCCATAAATATAGTTCAGTGAATTTTGTTTTTATTTCGATTAAAATCAAAGCCTGTAAAGACAGCTTCAAGCAACTATGCATGTAACCCCTCTTTAGCCAGACCTTTCTGTTTCTACAAGGGTCATTTGTTTCTCTTTTAAACCAACCATTTCTCTATTATCACTTGTAGGCAGCCGATGGAAAAAGGAAACACTTTAAATTTAACTTATATTGATGAATCATAAGCTATGAAATGAAAAATAAAAATGTTAAGAACCCAATCCATTCGATAAACCCTAGTGACCCCCGTCCTTACACCCCAAATCAACAAATTAGTGAATCTAAAGCAGTCGTGTGATAAATAGGCAAGTGTTTGTTAAACTCACTGTTGCATTTTGAAGAAGACTTTGATTGACTTCAGTTAGCAATCGAACTGATCCACGCAGGCCAAGCATGTTTCGTACACGGGAAGAACACCACCGGGAGCGAGGCGTAGGCAGAAGAGAAGATATTGAAACAGGGTCTAAGGAGATATATGGGCTTTTATGCACTGGATCTTGGGCTTGAACCTGGGACCGCATTCGTTCAACCCCATATCACAAGATTTTTTTCCCCCGTTTTATGAAGAGAACGGCCTTTCGGATAGGTTTTCTTATTTATTACATAATAAATAAATAAATTAAATAAGTTTCGGTTATTATCATCATAATCGAGAAATCAATAAAATCGCTCCAGTTTAATCCGGTCTATTTTTATTTAAAATTTAAATATTATTTTTTATTTTAAATGAATTATTATTAATGTGTTCAAAAAATATTTTTAAAAAAATTTAAATTTGTTTAAATTAATATATTTTTAAATTATTTTAATATATTAATTTTAAAAATAATTTTTAAAAATTAAAAAAATATTATTAATATTTTTTATTTTAAAAAATAACCACTAATACAGTACTATAATCTACTCTCATAAACTGGATCCATTACTAATTTATTACCTTACACAAACAAAGGCGAGCTCCATGTATTAAAAAAAAACGTTTTTTTTTCCCATCACAATTCTATCATTTTATTACTATGTTTGTTTGTTTTTTTTTTTTTGCCTTTTTGGTTTTTTTCCCATCAACACCACCAAGGCTAAACAGAACAAAGAAACCCATAAAATGCCATTCTTTCTGTGCCTTCCCGTCTCCGCCTCTACATGCCTTTTAACCCATACATCATTCCTATGCTCGCAATCCACTCCGGCATTGCCGCTGCTATGGCTTTGGTGAAGCCACAACACTCTACACCTCTTCCTCTAACCGGTTTTTCCAGCGAGGTCTTTACGCAAAAACAATTCGAGGCTTTGATGGACATAGGACGATTGATGTGGAGTTGCCTTTCATCAAAAAGGTTATTTCTTCATTTTTCAGCTTTGAATTAACATTCTTGTATTTCTGCACCCGGCCGTAGCAATAAGTGTGCTATTTGTGGGTGGCGCTTTTATTGTTGCTGGGATTTTAGGTGTTATTGAGATCTCGAGTCTGATGTGTGGTTGTGTATTTGTTGCTCATTGAACCAGTCGGGTTGTGGGTTTGAACTTAAGATAATGGTGATGACTTTTTTAGCTTATGCTCTCGTCACTCTTTTTATTTGCTGGCTGCACACACACTGAATGGTGGGGGGGGGGGGGGGGTGTTGGGGGGGGTTATA